CCCACTTATGTGTGATTCTTTATTTTTTAAAACTCCACGCCTCTTGCCAAGACCCTCGCTTTACTTCTTTAAACCCCCATTAAAATATTTTTAAACAACCAGGTGACATCAACATCCTTTTTAAAGGGCCCTGTTTTACTGGGAAAAAATTTTCCCTCTTTCCTATCCCAAAAATTGAGCCTCACTTCCTCGTAAAAACTCTTCACTGTTTTCGTAACACCTCCTACCCCCAAACACCTCAACATCTGCCACATTCCCCCCATATCCACCCTGTCAAAAACGCCTTTCCAAATCCATAAATCCACAAAGACCTCTTCACCCTTACTAAATATGTTCACTTATATTTTTCACAAAAACCCCCGGGTCCACACATCCTCTATTTTTCCTAAAGTTTCCTTGTTCATCTGCTACCCTATTTCCACTTCCCTTTTAATTTTTTCAATAAAAATTACCATACACTTTACCAGGTATACTAAAACAACTTATCCCCTTAAAATTTTTGCACTCTCTTTTTTCCCCCTTTCCCTTTTATAAAAAGGAAATGCAGCTCTCTCCCAATCCCTAGGTACCTTACCCTTTTCCCATACATTTATTAAATAATTGACCAACACTCCAAAACTATATCCCCCCCTGCTTTTAAATTTTATCTTTACCCCATAAAACCCGGTGCCTTCCCCCTTCATTTTACTCTGCCCACGAATTTCCCCAACTCACAACTGGCTCTTCCTCACTCCCCAAGATTTATTCCTCTTTGCCTATCCAAAACCAGCTTCCCATCTTCATCAACATTTAACAATTCCTCAAATATTCCCCCCACTTCCCAAAACCTCTAATCTCCATTTAAAAACTTCCTCTCTATTTTAACTGACAAACCTTTTATCTCTAGGCTTTCCTTTAAATTTTTAATCTCACTCCAAAACTTTTTTTATTTTCAACTAATTTTTTGAAACATCTCACCCCCTCTCTCTTTGTCTCTTTTTAATTGCTTCACCACTTTTAACCCCCTCTCTTTTTCCCATTACTCTTCCCCCCTTGCATCACTTCTCTTTGTAAAAAAATTCCATACAACTTTTTCTCCCTTATACTCTCTTTACTCATCTTCCCAAAACCTCCTCTTCCCCCCCGCCCACTTTTCCTGTAACCCAAACTTCTGCGAACACTTAACACTGCATTTTTAAACCTACCCCATACCTCTTCGACCCCATTACCTATGCTCTCAGCCCATCTATCCTCCAATAGCTGTTTATATCTTACCCTAACTGCCTCCTCTTTTAGTTTATAAACCTTCACCTCTCTCTTCCCTGATGCTTCTATTCTCCTTGTATTCCATCTACCTTTTACTGTCAGTGTAGCTACAACTAGAAAGTGGTCTGATATATCTGTGGCCCCTCTATAAACATGTACATCCTGAAGTCTACTCAACAGTCTTTTATCTACCAATACATAATCCAACAAACTACTGTCATTTCGCCCTACATCATATCTTGTATATTTATTTATCCTCTTTTTCTTAAAATATGTATTACCTATAACTAAACCCCTTTCTATACAAAGTTCAATCAAAGGGCTCCCATTTTCATTTACACCTGGCACCCCAAACTTACCTACCACACCTTCTCTAAAAGTTTCTCCTACTTTAGCATTCAGGTCCCCTACCACAATTACTCTCTCACTTGGTTCGAAGGTTCCTATACATTCACTTAACATCTCCCAAAATCTCTCTCTCTCCTCTACATTCCTCTCTTCTCCAGGTGCATAAAACGCTTATTATGACCCCTTTTTTCGCATCCAACCTTTACTTTAATCCACATAATTCTTGAATTTACACATTCATATTCTCTTTTCTCCTCCATAAGTGATCCTTCACATTACTGCTAACCCCTTCCTTTGCTCTAACTCTCTCAGATACTCCAGATTTAATCTCATTTATTTCCCCCCGCCGAAACTCCTCAAACCCCCTTCAGCTTTGTTTCGCTTAGGGCCGGGACATCCAACTTCTTTCATTCATAACATCAGCAAACATCTGTTTCTTGTCATCCGCACTACATCCAACGCACATTCAAGCATCCCAGTTTTATAAATTTTTTTTTTTCTTCTCTTTTTAGTAAATGTCTACAGGAGAAGGGTTTACTACCCATTGCCCCCGGGCATTTTAGTCGCCTCATACGACCCCGCATGGCTTACGGAGGAAAGATTCTTTTCCCACTTCCCCATGGGCAATAGAAGAAATAAAGAAGAACAAGAGCTATTTAGAAAAAGGAGAAAAACCAGATGTATGTATATATATATGCATGTGCGTGTCTGTGAAGTGTGACCAAAGTGTAAGTAGGAGTAGCAAGATATCCCTGTTATCTAGCGTGTTTATGAGCAGAAAAAGAACCAGCAATCCTACCATCATGCAAAACATTACAGGTTTCTGTTTCACACCCATCTGGCAGGACGGTAGTATTTCCCTGGGGTGGTTGCTGTCTACCAACCTACTACCTGGGTGTTAATGTTTTCATCATTGCACTACAGTTCAGGTATTCCCCCATCAAATCACATGTCTCAGATGAGATAGGGTAGAAACATTCAACTTAAAATAAACTAACATTGACCATTTACGGTTTAATTTATTATTTCAGGTATACATTTTAATACTCATGAAGACAAAATGCGTTGCTTAACTCATGGCCATTTATAGAACGACACCTTCGACAGACAATCACCCACCTTCAAGAAAATGCTTACAAGGTAAATGCAATTATTTCTGGAGAAAACAAATAAAAATTATTCATATCTTTTATTATTTTACTACTTAATGTATATTGGTTTTAAAGACTGGGGCATAATAATTCCAAGAGCAATGTTGGTGTAAATATATGCAGAAAATTCGGAGTGTGGAAATTGGGAGAAGGTTGGAGTTAATAAAAGTATTAGTCAGAGGCTGAAGAGGGTTTTGAGGTGGTTTGGTCATGTAAGAGAAGGATCAAGGTAAATAACATGGAGAGCGTATAAATCTGTAGGGGAAGGAAGGCGGGTAGGGGTCGTCCTCGAAAAGGTTGGGGGGAGGGGGTATAGTGTTTGTGGGCGAGGGGTTTGGACTTCCAGCAAGCGGCGTAAGCGTGTTAGATAGGAGTGAATGGGACAAATAGTATTTGGGACCTGACGATCTTTTTGAAGTGTGAGCGGGGTAATATTTTTAGTAAAGGGGATTCAGGGAAACCTTTTATTTTATATAACCGGACTTGAGTCCTGGAAATGGGAAGTACATGCCGGGCCACTCAAAAGGGAGGGGTTTGGGATATTGGCATTTTGGGAGAGATATATTGTGTATTTTTATACGTATATACTTCTAACTGGTGTATTCTGGGCACCTCTGCACAACAGTGTTTAAAGTGTGAGTGAGGTGAAAGTGTTGAATGATGAAAGTATTTTTTTTTTTCGGGATTTCTTTCTCTTTGGATCACCCTGCCTCGGGGGGAGACGGCCGACTTGCTGAAAAAAAAAATACATATATGAGAGTAGCATAACTTTTCTTGTCTTTGCAGGTATATCAGAATGAAGAATCAAAATAAGCCACCGATCATTACGATCAGCGGTTTTCATGGACAATTTCGCAAACAGCGTGGTATGGATAAAATAAACTTTCTTTCCTAGATTGAAATAGTTTCTCTCATATCATCAAAATTTTTTCATTATGTACAAATTAAAATACAAGTTTGGAATCAGTCAATCAGTGTGAAGTTCCTAGAAGTACCAAAATTAAAAATCTGCAATTACTGTACACTTGATACTATTTATATACAAAATGAATTTTGTTAAAGATTTGGAGTCATTTTACATTAATGAAGCTAACCTCTTTAAGTATTGCTCTAATATGGCATTGACATTCACAAGAAAGAATATCTAGTCAAAGAAAAGAGATTTTAGTGTGGAAATCCAGTAAACCAAATTTTAAAAAAAAATTTGGGATGGCTAGTTTTAAATTTTAGGGTCCATATTCTAAGCCAAAAGAAAATGAGCACTGCAAAAAATGCAAATTTGGAAAACAATAAATTTGTAAGTTCATTTGCACTTTTTAAAAGACCTTAGACTACAAAGAATTTTGAGGAATAATTCTTGTAAATTTGTCCAATAGCTTTCCATCAGTCCTCAATATACACAGCAGTTTTAAATGACACTACAGTTTTCCCCTCATCCTCTTTGACCTATCAAAGGACAGAATGCCCTGGTACTGGTGAAGGGCTCTTGATCCAAGAATTAGTTATACATTTCCTTGGATCCGAGTTTATTTTTCCCATTCCCCAGGCACTTTGTCTTTTATGGGTTTAGAATTTCCCCCTGAATATAATAGAAATCATTCTCTCTCAAGACATACAGGTGTTCATTATGATACATGAAGTCACAAAATTTTAAAATAAAAACATTTTAGAGGGAAATTTATTTTAGCATATTTCTCTAAGTATCTGACTTGAATGTTTTGACCAATTAGGTATTTTCTTTATTTTAAAGTGAATGTTGTGATACTTTTGAATCAGTTTTACTTAATGCAAAGTAACTTAAATAGTTAGGAAGAATTTTCAAGTTTTTACATGAATAGATTTTTTTTCCCAAGGAAGAGTGCATGAAAATTGGGAAAGGCTCTTTACCCAGGTAATTTGAGTCATCCTCCCCCTTCCTTGGATCAAATCTGATTACTTTCTCCACTTCCTAATTGCTCTACAACCCTTATGGGTATATTGCTATCCCATAATGAATTCAAGGAAGGGTGTTGACAAAGAACTGGTCACTATCTAGTCAGTGCTGTAATTTGGCTAGCCTTTTCTTGAGGGCTGCCTCTGTGTACAGCTTTTGGAGAGTAAGAATTTTTTTGAGGAATGATATACTGTACATAATGGTTTATTTTCCCAGTATAATTATTCCTTCAGTGACTGGCCAACCCAGATCCCTATCTGAACTTGTCGGTGAACGAGAATTTTGCAGCATTTACACTCCTCATTTACATGGCTTTGAAGGCTGAGGTTTGAGGCTTCAGGAGAGATTTATTGAAGGCCCTCCTGTTAACATCTATATTGCAGATGGTTCGGGTACTGGTAATGGTAAGTATCACAGCTTGACTTATGTGTAAGTGAAGAAATTATTTTTATCATTCATTTTGTAACAAAAGCCGGGATGAAAAAGCAAAAATAACATTCACCATCAATTTGTTCACTTACATGAACACACAAGTGACTTTTTTTTAAGGTAAACAATACCAAAATACTTGGTAAAAAGTTTTTATGCAGATAAAAAAGCTTTGTTTAGGACATATAGTCACCATGGTTTAATATATTTATGAATGAATGTTTGGGGGTTTGGGGGAGGTGTGCAATTAAAAGAAAAATGAATCTGATGCAAAAATGGGAGTTTATCACAGATCTTTTGAAAGATCTGAAGAGAACTTACTTTGATTGGTGGATGAATCTGAGTGTGTGTATAAAAAGAAAGAAATTAAAAGTAAACAGTAAAGAGAAAGGTAATGGGAGATTTGAGAGAAGGAGGAAGTGAATGTATTCAGATATTTGGGTCACAGCTGACCTAGAGACTGTTGACTGGCCTACAGAATTCTCCAAGGCCAATGGTAAATTTATGACTGGACAGACATTTTTCTTAACAAATTAAATTAGACTATACAACAAACATTGTCCTATAAAAACGAAACAGATCACAAACAAACGGCTTGGTTGCCCATGGCTAACCAGCACCATTCTGAAATCCATTGATAAGAAACACCAATATGAAAAACAATATAGACAGGGGCCTAATACACAAAAAATTTCTTAAACACTATTCATCAGTCCTCACCAAAGTAATAAAGAAAGCCAAACAACTATACTACCCAGTAAAATTCACTGACACAAGAGGAGATATAAAAAAGACCTGGAAAACACTCTCTCAGATTCTAGGACCCACAAACTGAAAAAAAAAAAAAAAGAATATTGTCCTAACTAAACCTAATGAAACACCACTGCATCCCACTGACACAGCAACAAGATAAACGACTTCTTCCCAACCCTAGGTTCTAATCTCGCCAATAAAATCCCCACGTACCAATGCCCATGCCGGGGACTACCTAGATGGGAATTTCCCAATTCCTTCTATCTTGCTCCAACGGAGCCCACGGAAATCACCGAGATTATAAAGTCACTTAAAAATAACTCAGGGAATCTGTCTCATGTCCCACCATTATTGTATAAAGAGCGGCCCCTGTCCTCTCGCATGCTATCTCATTACTTTTTTAAAAAGTCACTAAAACTAGCACCTTCCCGAAAATACTCAAGATGGCAAGGGTTACACCATTACATAAAGGTGGTGACCCTACAGATTTAAACAACTAAGGCCAATATCAAACTTACCATTGCTATCCAAAATCTTTGAGAAACTCGTGCACAGGAGACTATATTCATTTATAAAAGGCACAAAACATACTCAACCCCTGCCAATTTGGATTCAGGAAAAATAAAAAAACACTAACGATGCAATCATAAAAAAAGCTAGATCTGCTTTACACAGCATTGGAAAATAAGGAATATCCACTAGGAATTTTTATTGACCTAAGAAAAGCTTTTGACACAGTAGACCACGGCATCCTACTCCACAAACTTGACCATTTTGGTAAAGAGGCCATGCGCTTGCATATTTCAAATCTTACCTTACTAATAGGTATCAGTATTCACCCATTAAAGACACAGCATCAACAACACAGCCACTGAAAACTGGAGTTCCGCAGGGAAGTGTCCTTGTCCCCTGCTCTTCCTCATATACATCAATGATCTTCCAAACGTATCCAACACCTGAACCCCATTCTCTTTGCTGAAAGACACGACTTATGTCATCTCTCACCCTAATCTTTCCACCCCCCAACACCATTGTTTTAAAGAGGAGCTGAACAAAATATCGACTTGGATGACAGCCAATAAACTTACGCTTAACACTGACAAAACCTACTACATTATGTTTGGTAGCAGAGCAGGAGATGCGCAAATTAACATTAAGATCTACAACACTCTAATTGCCCAGGCATAATGAGGAACAAATCCTAGGCCTAACCTCGACACCAACCTGAACTTCAGCACCCATATCCAACACATAACCAAAAAAGTATCCAAAACAGTTGGGATCCTCTCCAAGATACAATACTATGTCTGCCAACTGCCCTTCTCACACTATACCATTCACTTAAATATCCCTACCTCACCTAAGCTATCTGGCTTGGGTTCAACTGCAGCAACACACCTAAAGCCAATAATAACCCAAAAAAAAGCCACAGTAAAAATAATCACTAAATCCCATCCCTGGGAACACACCCCCCCACTCTCATAGATCAAACCTATTTCTGTTCAGTACATCCACACTTACTACTGTGCAATCTAAAATCTACAGGACCTTAAAATTCCAATATTAACCTTGACCTAAAACGCTTTCTTTATAGTTGTGACAGAACCCACAGGCACAACACCAGACACAAACATCTCTATGACATTCCCTGTGTCCGACTAAACCTTTTCAAAAATTCAATGTATGTCAAAGGCCCTAAAATCTGGAACACCCTACCCGAAAATTCTAAAACTGCAGACACATCATCACCTTCAAAACTACCATCAGAAACATCTTATCTCTCTGATACACCCTGTCAACTAATTACACCCAATACCACCTGGTGGTTAACACTTTCACTCACTCACCCATTTGACCAAAAACAAAATGTCAATCTCAATCTCAAAATAATGAATCTTAACTATCCCTAAGTTGGCCTGTGATACTCCAATACTGAAACTATGTATAGTGCCAAAACAAAAGCATTCACATTGCTAAACTCACAAACTATATTTAGTCACTTAGCCATAATAAACCCAAATTACCTCATAATTTTGTAATATTTTGAACTTAAGATTTAATTTAAGTCTGCCCGAAATGCCTAGCCATGCTAAGTGTTCTAGTGGTACACTCTGTAATTATTATTTTACTACATGTAAACCACACAATAACCAAATTCTGTAAACTCAGCATTGTAATCCTTATAGAGAATAAACTTTGAATTGAATTGAATTGAATAGAATAGATGAGGAATAAAGGTAGGTGGAGTGTTGAGGCATCTATGGAGAGAAGGAAGTTTATCCATGGAGGAAAAAGGGGTATATACTAGAGTATATACCCCTTTTGCCTCCACTCTTATATGGCCTTTAAGCATTATAGTGAGGAGGCAGCTAGAGGTAATGACAGTGTCATGTTTGGGAGCAATGTACTATAGTGTGAATATTGCGGAAAGAACTCAGATCGTAAAAATTAGATGGTGTAGGGTTACCAAAGATATAATTCAGAGTAATATGACAGTGTATAAATCTGGGGATAGAAGGAAGAAGGAAGAAGGCTTAGAGGTCATCCCAGGAAGGGTTGGAGGGAGAGGAGTAAAGGTTTTGAGTGGTAGGGGCTTGAGGATACAGCAGGCTGGAGTGAGTGTTGACAAGTGATTTTTATGGCTTGACGTACTTTTGGGGTGTGAGCAAGGAAACATTTACACAGGGATTCAGGGAAAACTGTGCATATGCATGTGTGTGTTATATGCGTAAATGCATACTTACAAAGTTTACATTATTTTTATTCATACATAAAATATATACTTACACAAGCAGTGTGTTTACATTACGTAATCTTTATTATTTAAATCCATCGTGTTCTGTATATTTTCAGGGCTTAGTGTACGGGAGTTATACAACACACTAGGTGGCAATATCTTTCATCGCATGATGCATCATCTCCTGATTGGTCGACAAGTCATCTTGAGAGGTTCATCTACAAAAATAATATCTGCCTTAATTCATTCATTACAGGTGAGGCTTTTGCTGATAGTTTTCTTTGTTATTAAATTGCACTGTATGTTATTTTATATATAATCTATGTATGGCTTTTATATATAATCTAGTATGGTATGGCATGAAATTTATTATAATCAGGGGAAAACACTGAACTCATAAATGTCTCAAAAGGCCGGGGGAATCAGAGACAGTCAGGTTCAATAAAAGCAGGGCAGGGCAACTTCCTTGTAGAATCCCCCCATCCTCCTCACTGGCATCACTACACTTCCTGTGAGGTGTGACATTATGTATAATTGATTACTACTTAACAGAGTTTCAGATTGAAATATACAGTATGTAATAAGAATTTCATAATATTGTGACAGTAACAAAGTTTTGTTGCATGGGGTGAGAACCAATTTCCTATATAGGATAGAAAAGTAATACTATAGAATACAAAAGGAAAAATATTTTTATTGTCACTTTTTTTTCATACATTTTATTTTCACCATCATGGGGAGTGCTAAACCCATAGTTTAAACCCAGTCCCATGTGGGGGGGGAGGGTGGAAGGTATTCAGGCTCAATTCAGGGAACTGGAGCACAGATCCAATTCCCTAGATCAGGAGCCTCTCACCAGCGTCAAGGAACCTCCCTCGAGGGGACACCGTCATCACAGAAAACTAGTACTGTATTGTTCTCCCACTTTCTGGTTAATACTCCAGGGATATTTGCAGTTTTGAACTGTAGTATCAGTGCCTCTCTGGCAAGACATTGATGGAATGAGTGATAGTGAAAGTGTTTTGTTTTTTTGGGCCACCTTGCCTTAGTGGGAAATGGCCGATGTGTTAAAAAAAACCCAGAACAGTATCTCAGCTGCTTTATTGTCTCTAAAACAAATTGCAAGTGTCCAGAACTGCCACATATGCATTTCTGAACACAAATATGTCAGCAGAATTGACCACTTGAACAACACCTATGTTTCTCACAGAAACTACCATAATGCCTTGATCATTTACAGTGTCATATAATTGTCAGGGAAGACACTTCAGAATGCAGGATCCTGGAATCATCACTAATGAGTATGTTAAACAACTTTAACATAGCTGAACCTCTTGCTTGGAGACTTCTTGATTGCTATCCTTTTCCTAGTCAGTGGCATCATAAGGGGGGAAGGTGCCCGGGGTGACACCATTTAGTCTCTCACATAATCCCTCCTTTTTAATACTACAAAAACATATTACAGAGAATGAACATTGAAACAGGCCTTCTCTATCCAGCCTCCAATAGAAAATATTTGTCTAACCTTTTTTTTATGTTACCCAAGAAATAACTTTTATATCCTTTTAACTCATGTGCAAGTTAATTGTTCTACCATATTTTATTACTACTACTACAACTTTAATCACTACTACTACAAACCACTAGTATTGCACCTCACTTTGAGCCTACATATACCCCTGTGTCCATGTACTGTTTGTAATGGCTTGAAAAAAGCTCTTGGAGGCGAAACATTGCCACAATAAAAATGTAAACATTAGTTGCACTTGGGGTCCTTTTACTTTACATATTGTCGGTAATTCTACCAACATTTTTTACAAACTCATCCTCAAGACCACATGATACAGGGAGACCATCTTAAGTGCCTTCAGGCACTTAGGTAAGGTAAATTTTGGGGACATTAAATTACAAAAAGGTCCTTCAATGTGGCATACTTTAATGACCATGACTGTGTATGCCCAGTAGAGGTGGTAACAGCAACCACCAAGGGAGGTACTACCATCCTGCCAAGTGAGTATAAAATGGAAGCCTTAGTTGTTTTATATAATGGTAGGATTTTTGGTGTCTTTTTCCCTGTCTCGAAAACAGTCAACATTTCGGGTACGTCTTGCTACTTCAAACTTCACTAGGTCACACTCAATCCCATGTACAAACATATATATACACACCCCCCTTTCTCGGTTTTTCCCTTCTCTTTTGTTTACTATTTTCTTGTTCTTGTTTATTTCCTCTTTATCTCCATGGGGAAGTGGAACAGAATACTTCCTCTGTAAGCCATGCATGTTGTAAGAAGCAACTAAAATGCCAGGAGCAAGGGGTTAGTAACCCCTTCTCCTGTATACATTACTAAATTTATAAAGAGAAACTTTTGTTTTTCTTTTTTGGGCCACCCTGCCTTGGTGGATATGGCTGGTGCATTGAAAGAAAAAGAAGAAGAACGGTATGCACATTCTCCCCCCCAGGTAGATCTTTTGGTGATTTGATAAAGTCCACTGTTGGCCAAAGCATTACCATGAAGAATTGCTTTCCCTACTGCTTTTGTGTGTTATCCATCTGACCAGAAACTGTTTGATACTGTTTTCATGCATTTCTGTAAATATTTTCCATTACACATTTTGCCACATTCCAAATTAGCTTTTTTTTTTTTTCTTATTTTTTACACTTTGAATTTAAATTGTTTTTTTCACTTTATCACTGATGAACATGACCATACTATCTTACCAAAACCTTCTTAATGTGTTTGTCTCTATTGCTTTAAATTAATTGTCATGCTCAACTGTTCCTTCAAGCAGCACTTTAGCTGGAGTCCTTCTTATCTTGATTACTTCCCTTTGGGATTTTTCATTTTACCATCCATTCAGCTTATCGGGTCTCTGGTCTAAACCTTTGTTTGCAAAAATTCCTCTCTAACAAGTATCATATTATTAAGGTATACAATACCAACAAGCTACATGATGAGATACATGATATATACACTTGGAAGGTCCTGGAGGGGTTGTTAAACCCAAAACCCGCACACGAAAATCACTCCCTACGAAAGCAAAAGACCCCGGCAGGAGGGGCAACATTCCTCCAATGAAAAAACAGGGTGCAACGAGTACATTGAGAGACAAAACAATAAGTGTCTGGGGGGGCCAAGACTGTTCAACTGCCTCCCAGCCTACATAAGGGGGGTTACCAATAGACCCCGCTGTCTGTAAAAGGCACTCCTGCCATCATACTCCAACCAATTTTCAAAAGTCTGAATCTGCTCCCATTAAGAACATCCATAAATTATTCAGTGCCTAATACATACACCGAACAATACACGCAAATAAAAACCCTCCACTCAGACTTCTCCTCACCAACCTTAGCAGGACACATGACCACAACACAAGACACAGATCTCTTCTTGATATACCTCCCTGTCCATATCACACTGTGTAAAACTCGATGCACATAAAAGGGCCCCAAAATTTGGAATTCATTACCAAAGATACTACAGTAACCCAGTCTGAAAATCAATTTTAAAACTCTTCTCAAAAGCCACTTAATCACCCTAGACTAAATGCTAAATACTCAGTACAAAACATACTTATGTAAATTTCCCCCATCATAATTTTTAACAATTACTTTGAGCCTTTTATCCATTGTTGACAGGAATATAATTGAACATTGTTTTCACAAAAAGCAATTTTTTAATCATTGTTTTCACAAAAAGCATTTTATGAATATCTTCTTTCAACACACCGGCTGTATCCCACCGAGGCGGGGTGGCCCAAAAGGAAAAACAAAAGTTTCTCCTTTTACATTTAGTAATATATACAAAAAAGGGTTACTTGCCCCTTGCTCCTGGCATTTTAGTTGCCTCTTACAACACGCATGGGTTACGGAGGGAAAAATTCTGTTCCACTTTCCCCATGGAGAAAGAGGAAATAAACAAGAACAAGAACTAGAAAGAAAATAGCAGAAAACCCAGAGGGGGGTGTATATAATGCTTGCACATGTATGTGTTGTGTGACCTAAGTGTAAGTAGAAGTAGCAAGACGTACCTGTAATCTTGCAATTTATGAGACAGACAAAAGACACCAGCAATCCTAAACCCTCATGTAAAAACAATTACAGGCTTTCGTTTCACACCACTTGGGAGGACGGTAGTACCCCCCTGGGTGGTTGCTGTCTACCAACCTACTACCTAAATTTTTTTTTGAAAATATGAATATATTTTGTCTTATATAAATAGATTCACTTATAATTAATAATCTACTGTACAACTATGATATAATTAATAATCTACTGTACAACTACGATATAATTAATTTCTAACGTACAACTGTGACATAATTCTTAGTGTTAAGTAGTCTGTAAGCCAATAATGTTAAGTCGGGCCCATAATGCCTAAGCATAACAGAGGCTCTCTTTGCATTGCAAACCCTTTTTTGTAAAAAACAAAATCTCAATGTACTATTTGCAAAGACATAAATAAATAAATAAATAAGTAAATAAAGTCAGTACCTGACCAACCGGGCTGTGGTTCATACGTCAGCTTGCGTGTGGCCAGTAGTAACAGCCTGGTTGAACAGACCCTGATCCACCGTGAGACCTGGTCTCAGACCGAGCTGTGGGGGCGTTGACCCCCGAAACCTTCTCCAGGTAAATTCCAGGTAAGTTGATGAATAAGACATGTTTGCAACACTAGGGTTCATTTATTGCTGAAACGTTTGGGCAGTCAAGATACCCAGGTGTTGCAAGCATCATTTAATACATAGTACTGTATTCCATTAATACCTCTTGTGTGCTGAATTTACACCCTTCTCTAATACTCTGTTTTTACTTCCTCATAAGCAAGTTTATTAAGGTATACACAAATACAGTTACACATAGATTATCATACATAGCATATGTATGTGTAGAGAACCTAGGATAACCCAGACAACTCAGACAAAGTGGCTTATTTCCATTGGGGTCCATTTAATACCTTATTATAGTATAAAGGAGATAATATTTTATTATACTATAAAGGAGATCTTCTTCTTTCAACGTACCAGCCGTACCCCACTGAGGTGGGGTGGCCCAAAAGGAAAAACGAAAGTTTCGCCTTTTAAATTAAGTAATATATACAGGAGAAGGGGTTACTAGCCCTATAAAGAAGATATACTAGGAATAAGGTAAAATGAGTTATTTAAGTTTACATGTATGTGTTAGCTAAAAATATAAAAAATCATTCTCCTCCCTTTCTGTCACTACATTCATTAGTACCTTTTGGCTCTCTTCTTGAATGGGTTTGTGCTGTGACTGGCTTTGACATGTGCAGTCTGTTCCATTCCTTTATTGCTGTACAATAAAAGGTGTTTGAAGCCTGGCCACTTACTGTGGGTAGTACGAAGTTGTGCTCTCTCCCCCTAGTATTATGATTGCTTTGGTTCCCAACCTTGACAAAATTGGCAGCAAGATATTCTGGACACTGTTTGTGAGCAATTTTATAAACTTGATTTAACTTAATTGTTTTAAATCTGTCCTTTAACATTCACCATATCCAATTGTTGTAATTCATTCTGGCCTACATGCTTTTCTTGGATCCAGGTCCAGGATGAATCTTATCATTTTATTCTGGGTATTTGCAGTCTAAAGTTTTTAGTTTTTTGTCAAAGCAGAGTACCATGAAGAGCAAGTGTAGTCCATATGACATTGTAAGGGGTAGACATAAGGGTTCTGTGAGCCTCAGTAGGTAACACTGTGCTCGTCTGTAGAGGAACTTCAGCCTGGCATTCACTTTCTTTATTACACTGTTCCCTATCAATTCAAAGGGGATTCCCAGATATTTACTGAGAAAACTGAAGTGATGGGTCAAGAAATCGTAATGACACAATTGCAAACAAACCAAACCCCCGGCCAGGATTGAACCCGCGGTCCCTAGAGTCTCAAAACTCCAGCCCGTCGCGTTAGCCACTAGCCAGCAGCCACAATAAGATTCATCCAACTAGGGATATTTCTAAAACCATAGGAAGGTTAGCACAGGCACCACTGTGACCACAAATGCATTTGTGGTCACAGTGGGGCCTGTGCTAACTGGTGCTAGTTGGTCTAGTGGCTAACGCGACGGGCTGGAGTTTTGAGACTCTATGACCGCGGTTCAATCCCGGCCGGGGTATGGTCTGAAGTGATGGGTTCCTCATTACACCAACATTAGAATTATTTACCCTTCTCAGTTTGTTTCGTGCCAAAGAGTATGGCTTCCGTTTTCCCGAGGTGTAATAATAGTTTGTTGTCTACTAACCATTTGCTGCAGGATCCAGTTTCACTGTTATTACATTAGCTATATCTTGTGGGTGTTTACTTAACCTAACAGAGCACTATCATCCACATACAGTAGGAGTTTGCACTTGACACTGATGGGCATGTTGTTTACATAACATAGGAATAATAAGGGACCCAGAATACTGCCTTAGGGAACTCCACATGCTATTGCAGGGTTCTGATTCTGTTTTTGTTGATTTTGACAGTTTTGTTTCCTGTTGCTAAGATAGATGTTTCCTGTTACTAAGATGTATACATAAAATATATAGGCACATTAATATAGGCCTACACCATTAACACTTATGGATCACCTCTAAAAAAATTTACAAATACAGTGCATTAAATTTTATACCTAATTCTATATATCTAAAGGAACTACGTTAGTAGGAAAATGAAAGGTTGGGAAAATGAGAGAAAATACAATTTTCCATGACATAAGTTTGGTGATTGCTGATTAAACATAATGTAATATAATATGTAGCTACAGTATATTGATATTTATTTTTTAATTTCAGCCATTGCTCCCGAAGCACTGCTACAAGGCAATACAATTTTCTCCACATTATATTGCTGGTACATCCTGTAACATACTGGCCTTCAGTCATTGGTAAATATACCACAAGCTGTCTTAGAAACTGTAATTTGTGCCTTATTGAAATAATTTCCAAAAAAGAAAATTCTGACATACAAGATACGTATAATAAAACAAATTTGCCAAGAACTTCATCCGTAATAAATTTTAATGTAAAAAATAAAGAGATAGAGACTGCAGATAATATCAAGCCAGGAAATACAGAGGCAACTGAAGCAGAGGATATTGTTGAGAGCATCAAGAAATTTACGTTTAAGGTAAAGTGTTGCATAGTTTTTTCATAAAACTCCTGTATGCAGTTTTGTGATTTTTTGCATGATGTATCAAAAGTTACAGTAAGAAAATTAACTTTTTTACATGCAAACAAAATTAAATGTTAAAACTGCAAGGGGTTAGTACTTAATTTGAATGAATGATGATAATAGTAATAATAGTAATTCTAGGTAGGAGGTTGATAAGACAGCACCCACCCAGGGAGGTACTACCATCCTGCCAAGCGAGTGTAAAACGGAAGCCTGTAATTGTTTTTCCATGATGGTAGGATAGCTGTGTCTTTTTTTCTGTCTCATAAACATGTAAGATTCAGGTACGTCTTGCTACTTCTTCTTACACTTAGGGCACACTACGCATACATTACAATGTACAAGCAATATATACACAAT